ACTGAAACATGAGGCGGCCTGTGTACAGCACATCCAGTTGAAAAGCATCATACAGTGAGGTTCACTTGAGTCTCCCATGAAAAGCAGCTTTAGTTGCAAGTGAGTGTATTTGCCGCAACTAGTCTAATTTGGGTTCAAGTAGAACATAAGTTTGGCGGAATCTCGGATCTGCACCCACTTGATGAGCCTCAAGAAGGCCGAAACCAGTCGTGGGCTCTCGAACAGTTTTCAGCAACCTTGTGAGTAGTGTGATACGTCTATACATGTGTCGCGATATCTCAAAAATCTGACCAACTGATACATGAGGTGGCCTGGTACAGCACATTCGGCTACTTACAAAGATAGTAAACGAGAGCTTCATCTGGGTTCCAGGTGGATCTCCCACAAAACCAAATTTGTTTGCAAATGAGTGCATTTCGCTGAAAAGGCCGTAGTACCTAGAACAGCTTTGATGGCATCTGTCATTGGCACCAACCTGGGATGAACCGGTCCCAGAATACTTCACCTGTGCTTGTTTTATTTAATGCACAAAAATCTCANTCATGAACGAGAGATTCAGCTGGGTTCTACGGAGTCTCCCACAAGGCCAAATTTGTTCGAAAATGAGTGTATTTCTCTAATTTCGTGGAATTTGAGGTCACGTCGAATATAAAATTTGACGGGAAGCCCGGGGGCTACGCCTACCTGGTGAGCCCCTAAAAGAGCGAATTCGGCCGTGGGCTGTCGAATAGTTTTAATTAAACTTTTGAGTAGTGTAGTACGTCTATACAAATATCACGGTATCTCGAAAATCTGACCAACTGATACATGAGGTGGCCTGGTACAGCACATTCGGCTACTATGAAAGATAATAAACGAGAGCTTCATCTGGGTTCCAGGTGGATCTCCCGCAAAACCAAGTTTGTTTGCAAATGAGTGCATTTCGCTGAAAAGTCCGTAGTACCCAGAACAGCTTTGATGGCATCTGGCATTGGCACCAACCTGGAATGAACCGGTCCCAGAATATTTCACCTGTGCTTGTTTTATTTAATGCACAAAAATCTCAGTGGTTCCCATTCTGCGGCTCAATATACGGATGTATCACCTGCCCAGGATTTCAGCAAATGATTTGTTCTTGTGCAAAACTAATTTCACGACTTTCATTCTGGTGGAAATTGAACCAAATTAGTAAACAACAAGTCGAATAGAAATACGAATAATATTCGCTTGGATTCTACAGGGGATTCGGCGAAAACGGACCATTTAGAGGGTCTCGAACCTGCGACCTCCAGCATTTAACCGTTCGGCAAAAGGCNACTCTTTCGAGAAGAACCCACGTCGAATTCGGTCGAGATACAAGAATTACTGTCTAAAGCAAAACAGCCAATAAAAAACCATCGATAGCTTCACAAGCAATCGAATGCGCTCATAAAACGTTGTCAGGATTGATATTTTGACTGTCGTAAAGTCCACTATAAATAACTGAACATTCCTAACTGACAGAATAGTTGTTGTAAGTCAGAAACTGTGGTGTTTTGAAAGATGTACGGTGCATAAAAACATTTATTTTTTGAGGCTTTAGAAGGAATTTAAATCGCCATATAAGCTCTGGTCTATTTAATCAATCCCTCATTCACGCACCATTTTAATCTAAACTGACTTCTCGTGTATTGAAAAGGCAAAATCATCACCAAAGGCGCTAAACGTTTAAAAACAATAGTTGTCAAGCTAATATTTTCGAATTTCTTACGGTTTGCGATATAAAGATCGATAAACTGAGCAAAGCAAGAAGAGGAGATGATGTCGATATCTTTTCATTATTATGATCACATTTTTTAACTTGATCAAAACTTGGCCGATTATCGAACAACAATGGAAGAGTTAGTGATAGAGGACAGAAAGTCAAACGGGTACAAGGTGGTCGTCAACTTCATTCAGTCATCCAAATCTTGGTATTCAGGACAGTATTCGCTAGGTTTTCTTCATCGCCCATTAATTTATGGTTGCTGAGTAGAACCGATTTAGCAGCCTCCACGCGACAGGTGCGTCAGCGTCTTCTAGGAAGAAATGCGTATCGAAAGATTGTTGATCGCCTGCTTTCGGTAATGTGGTCACAGGGGATTCTGAACAAAAATGAGGAGAGAAGATGTTGCTGATGAACTTCATTTTTTGCACGCAAACGATTGTCGTTATCATTACGTCCAAACTGAGCAGGCCAGCAAGTCACGGCTGAGACGTTATGTTTGCGCGTGGAGTCCACTGGTATATAGGACAATTAGTTCAGTCTGCACTGTTGGTGTTCGATCGATAAAATGGATGTTTCATGGAACCCCAAATGTAGTGGTTTGACTTGAATACAAAACTACATACAAAGGTTGGGTATCATTTAGACCATACGGGTTCTTATGAAAGTCGATTAATGAACGCCACAAAGACGTGTTTGGGTGAGGAAGCCCTGGATCGGGAGCTGAGGGATGTGCCGACTAGATAAAAATGTTGCCGTGATCTCGATTACGGTAGTTGAGTTTGGTGTTCAATTTTTATCAGAAGCAGCTGATTCCCCCTTGGAATGTGTCGAGAGTATGCTCTAAGGAAGCGTCTTGGTCGGTCTGCTTAGGATTTCGCATGTCAGATGATGCGGCATCACCAGGAGGATGACGTCCATGAGTGGGACACACCGGGCGTCACATGTGAGCGTCAATGTGCCATGGATCGTTTCTTTGAATGTAAGGTTGACATGACTATCCCTCGGGATCTGCAGACGGATAGATCGTTGAAAGGAACAGGATACAATTAGGAATTGTTGTAAATATGAGCGTCAGACTGTTTCTACTCGTCCCCCCGTTCTACGCAGTCATCAGTGCGACCCGGCTGATGACAGTACGTGGTGCGTCTATGTGGCACCAACTCTTTGCTATAAGTATTTGCACATTCCACGCCTTCAGGTGGGCTGACATAGTTCCGGTGCGCTAACGCCTAGAGAGAATGGCATTTTACTGAAAACTCACAGATCAAGACTGCCTCAGGATGATTTGATTGTGGGGCAAATTTAGGGTTTTGTCTTGGCCATCTCCCAATCTCCATCATGAGGATCAGGAGATACTGTGTGAACTGTGCCCATCATCCAACCTGGTCTGAGAGTAGATGAATTCACATGAGCGATTTTCAGCATAGTTCAGTGGGTCATGAATGCACGGAAACCCATAAACCACAGTAGGGTCCATCCTATTTGCATCCAGAGAACACATGAATTCACATGATCGGTTTTCAGCATAGTTCACTGGGTCACGAATGCACGGAAATCCATAAACCACAGTAGGGTTCATCCTATTTGCATCCAGAGAAGTATTGCACAATGCACAATGAAAGGTGTCAAAACCAGCCCTCTGTGTTGATAAATGCGCCTGAATCCCGACTCGTTGTGGAGCGGAGTGCATGCTGCGTACTGAACATTCATTAGCATGGTGAAGTTTGAAGAGTCGCCCCGATACGCGGACCGATGAATGATCACCCGTGATTTGCGGAACTTTTGTGTGCCAGGTCGCCCGTTGACAAAACTAATCGACCTAACAACCAGACAGACAACTGAGCGTAAACAAACCACGCCTCGCCATCAGATGTCGACTGTAATCTTGGAGAATGAACGATAATTCGAGGACATGTGACTGCCTCAAATGTTCGAATCGAATCGACATTCACAAAGCTATTTTCGTCTAATTGACAAGTGAGGGAAACAGACTTCCAAATTTAACCGGCTAGGTAGAAAAGGTGGGCGAAATGTATACAACGTCGAACAATGCAGCTGTGTTCGTTATAGACACGCGATATTCAAATGCGCCTGTTGCCGGAGTTCGCAAGCCTGATTTGATGCGGCACGAGTGTAGCAGAGTGGCGCAGTGGAAGCGTGCTGGGCCCATAACCCAGAGGTCCGTGGATCGAAACCACGCTCTGCTAAATCTATTTTGACACGTCTGCCGAAATTGCAGACCATGCTTGAGTACACACCAAGTAGTTTCAATTATTTCTGATATTATAAAGTCGAAAACTGTACACTGTTTCGGCAAATTTTTTTCAGTATACCATGTAAAGCAAAAGTGAACTATGATGCACCATTGCGCCCTACGTGTAACTTAAGTTGGAACAGTACCTCGACAAATATACTCTTTTAATTGTAAATTTGTTTTTCTCGGGAGACCAACCTGAATCGCAGCTGGATTTCTCGTTTCATGATGTTCTTGAACTGAATTTGCTTCACGAGGCCGCCCCATGTGTCACTCGATGGAGAACATTTTAATCGCCAGTTTCAGTGGAGATTCGCCTTAATCTCCCGTTAAAACAAATTGGTTTGAAAACATCATGAACGAGAGATTCAGCTGGGTTCTACGGAGTCTCCCACAAGGCCAAATTTGTTCGAAAATGAGTGTATTTCTCTAATTTCGTGGAATTTGAGGTCACGTCGAATAATTCACGTAGAATATAAAACTTGACGGGAAACTCGGAGGCTGCGTCTACCTGATGAGCCCCTAGAAGTGCGAATCCGGCCGTGGGCTGTCGAACAGTTTTCAGAAACCTTGTGAGTAGTGTACTACGTCTATACATGTATCGCGATACCTCGAAAATCCGACCAACTGAAACATGAGGCGGCCTGTGTACAGCACATCCAGTTGAAAAGCATCATACAGTGAGGTTCACTTGAGTCTCCCATGAAAAGCAGCTTTAGTTGCAAGTGAGTGTATTTGCCGCAACTAGTCTAATTTGGGTTCAAGTAGAACATAAGTTTGGCGGAATCTCGGATCTGCACCCACTTGATGAGCCTCAAGAAGGCCGAAACCAGTCGTGGGCTCTCGAACAGTTTTCAGCAACCTTGTGAGTAGTGTGATACGTCTATACATGTGTCGCGATATCTCAAAAATCTGACCAACTGATACATGAGGTGGCCTGGTACAGCACATTCGGCTACTTACAAAGATAGTAAACGAGAGCTTCATCTGGGTTCCAGGTGGATCTCCCACAAAACCAAATTTGTTTGCAAATGAGTGCATTTCGCTGAAAAGGCCGTAGTACCTAGAACAGCTTTGATGGCATCTGTCATTGGCACCAACCTGGGATGAACCGGTCCCAGAATACTTCACCTGTGCTTGTTTTATTTAATGCACAAAAATCTCAGTGGTTCCCATTCTGCGGCACAATATACGGATGTATCACCTGCCCAGGATATCAGCAGATGATTTGTTCTTGTGCAAAACTAAATTCACGACTTTCATTCTGGTAGAAATTGAACCAAATTAATAAACAAGTTGAATAGAAATACAAATAATATTCGCTTGCCTTCTACAAAGGATTCGGCAAAAACGGACCATTTAGAGGGTCTTAAACCTGCGACCTCCAGCATTTAACCGTTCGGCAAAAAGCGGTTAGCCAATGGTGTGATTAACC